CATACTTAAACTTAAAGAGAAGAATTAACTTTAGCTTCCAACTAAAGCCTACAACCAAGCAGTAAAGGTATAATTCAGGATCATACTTATCCTAACCTCTAGCATCGCCTCAGTAAGACTTGAAAGACCTTGAGACTCGGATCAAGTCTCTCCACGTCTCTTTTAACCTACCAATTCAAGGTTTTGGGACTTTTTGGATTGTAGTTTTGTTGTTTTAGTGTTGAAGTTTTTTAGTTTTAGCATTCAACCGATTAGTCACCCCTTCTTCAATGTGCAATAAAATTTCAAACATAATTAAATTTCATTGCTTTAATAGAGCTACGTACAAATGGAACCAATGGATACATTGTTCATTAGGCCAATACGTAGACATAATCCATTGGCCAACCGTATTGGACTAAGACAAGGTCATAATGGGTCATACATATCACTAAGTTCAATTAGTAAAATTATATGATATTGACCCGTTATAACCATATCATAGTCCAACACCGCTTCAATGGAACACTGCTTCAATGGAACCCAATGATGCTGCAAGTGGAGCCAATGGAGCTCTGAATGGAGACAATGGATACTAGTTTTCTGAGCTCCATTCACGACGTGAATAGATCTCAAAAAACTAGTCCATTGAGCCCATTGCCTCAATATGTATCGTATTTTCGCGTAAAAACGTGTATGTTTGGATCAATGTAAATTAACAATTACGAACATATCTTCTTATATCGGACGATCAGCCCTTAACTCAAAATAGCACACATGCGCGTACTTGAAATAATACGTCTATACTCAAATAACATACAGGTGGGCGTTATTACGCAAAAATACGGTACGTAATATGCACGTATGTATCCTGAAACTGGCTTTGGGTAGGCTTCGTTCGAGGTATGTATAATCAACACCAATAGAGATTGATTGATTCCCTAGACAATATTAATGATATGTATCGATTATAAATACGTGTGTAAGAAGACTTGATCAGATTATATTTTCTTTAACTTTTCGATACGTATACATACTTCAACAAACTTGTAAATTAAATACCAAAAATAAAATAAAATAAAAATGCCAAAGCCAAATAAACGCACAAGACAATCTTGACAAGCTGCTGCTATGAAATGGAAAAATAAATCGTCCGTTAAATCGACCAATACGGCTTCCAACAAAAGTTACAAACCTATGGCACTTAATCCCATCAACAAAAATTGGCATACAGTATCAAAACTTGCTTCTTCATCACATAAGACCCTTGACAGTAGTGTTAATGATGATAAATCTATATTATCATCACTAGACACACAATTGAAAACAAAAACTGTCGATATAAATCTCAATACAACAAGACAATTTCTTCGTCTTGTGAATGAAGGATATACAAAGATGAAGGCAAGTGAACTTCTGGCTAAGAGTTTGGGTAAAGGCCCATGGCATGCTCGGCGTATTCGTACCTGGGCAAATCAATGGAAGAATAACAAAGAATTAACGAAGTCAAAACGTGGTAAACATGTAAAAACAAAATCATTAATACATAATATAAGTTTTCGACGTCAAATAAATCAGTATTTGGAGGAAAATAAATTTAAATTATCTATTCCAAATTTTATGAGTTATGTTAGTCATATTATGCCCGCTTTTGGAGTCATAAGTAAAACCATTAGCAGATCAACTGCGTGTAAATGGCTAAAATTGCTTGGATGGAGATACCAAACCCATACAAAAAAGATTTATTTTGACGGCCATGAACGTGAAGATGTGGTAGAGTACAGAAATGATTTTTTGCAGGAAATGGCTAGGTTACGAAAACGAATGGCCAGATATGAAGGTGAAAAATTAAACCGTATCCTGCCAAATCTTCTTCCTGGTGAGGCTGAAATTGTTCCTGTTACCCAAGACGAAACCACTCTTTATGCAAATGATGGTGTGAAACATTATTGGAGCCCGAAGGGTGAATATGGCCTACGGAGAAAATCATTAGTAAGAATCAGAATTAACTAAAATTTTTACGTAGTCGGCTAATCAGCCAACTAAAATTTTTAATTATTAATTAAAATATTACATATCAATCAGCCATAATTCCTGATCACTACACCAATGTCACTGGAATTAATGAATAATATCCTGAACCATATGTGAATAAGCAGAATCTTCGTTTCCGCTAATCCCTAATAGACCAGGTTATCGTGCAAACTCTTATGATCATAGATTTTTTTCTTCTTGTTATTTTTTGTACGTTATTTCGTAAGCACAACAATCCCGAATTAAAACTCAGTTAGCCAACCACTACTCGTAAATCATGATCATAATTGCAAGATAACATCGATATTGGATCATGCGATGATAAATATCACAAAATTTATTCTGTCGGAGCAAATGATTGGATGAAACGTGCTGCTACATGGCACATGTCAGCCAATCATTTGCTCAAATTTCATGATATTAATCGTTGCATGGCCAATACATATCTTATACATATTATTTCTAATATTTTAGTAAGTTGGCTAAAAACATTTTTTTGACTAATTTTTGATTCCTATCCTTGATCACAGGGCTCCAGTATTCACATTAGTGATTTTGTCTGTGAATCTATTGGGCGCCTCAAACTTTCAGACTATGAAATTGGTATAAATGACTTACTTCCTGATTTTATGCGTCTCAAATATACCGAAGCAGGTGTTTCCATCTATCTAGGCATAAATCGTGATGGTTGGTGGACATGTGATGATTTAGTTAATCAGGTAGTTGAATGTGCTATACCAATATTTGAA